GGTTGGAAAGGTAGGTGGGAACCAGATTTTTGGAGGGCTTTAAATGCCAGAGTAAAGAGTTTTTATTTTATCCTAGAGGCAATGGGGATCCATTGAAGGTTTTTGAGCAAAGGAGCAACATGATCACATCCATGTCTTAGGGAAGTTTATTTTGGCAATTCTGTAAAAGGTAGATTGGAGAGAGGAGAGACTGAAAGTAGAGAGACTAATTATTATTCCTATTAATTCAATCCAGGCAGGAAGTGAATTAGTGTGGTGACCACATTGAGAAGGGGAGGAAGCTCAAGAGATGTCGTGGAGGAAGAAATGACAGGGGTAGACAACTGATTGGGTATTGAAGGTGAGGGAGAAGGGAGAGTTAAGTATGACTCCAAGGTGGCAAATTTGGATGACTGGGAGGTTGATGATACCTTCAACAGAAGCAGGGAAGCTTAGAGGAAGAGGCAGGTTTTGGAGACAGGACAATGAGCTCATTTTAGACATACTGAATTTGAGACCCCTAAGGGACATCCTGGAGCAGTTATTAGGAAGCAGTTGATTGCTTGACTGAAGTTCAAGAGAGAGATTAGGAGCTGTATATACAGATTTGGGAATCATTTATGTTGAGATGATAATTGAACTTATGGGAGCAGATGAGCCCTTCGTCAAAATGTTTGTAGGGAGAAAAGAAAAGAAGCTCCAGGAGAGAGCCCTGGGGAACACTCACGTTAAAAAGACAGGGACTGAAGAGAGAGCCAGAAAAAGAGACTAAAGAGTGGTCAGATAGGTAGAGAGAGAACCCAGAGAAAACAGCGGCATGGACGCCAAGGAAGAAGACATTGCTCAGGAGGAGTGCAGTCAACAGTAGCAAAAACTGTTGAGGGGTCATGCAGGAGAGGACGAGGATGGAGGAGAGGACAAGGACCGGAAAAAGGCCATGGGTTAGCAGTTCAGTGATCTTTGGTACTCTTGGAGAGAACAATTTCAGCGGAATGGTTGGGTTGGAAATCAGATTGCAAGGGAATGAGAAGTAATTGAATGGTGATGAAGTGAAGTCAGCAAGTGAAGATGATTCTTCCTAGGAGGATACTCAACCTTCCTTCCATTAGATTGGAAACTTCTTGAGAACAAGGTCTGTGTCATATCAGTCTTTGTGTAATCATAGCCAAGGACAGTACCTTGTACATAAAAGGTGCTTTATTAATATTTGTTGAATGAATAAATGAATGTTGGTCAAGCTGTGCTTTGGAGCTGCCAGGAAAATTGTTGGATTGAACAGGAAGTGATAGCAAGCGAAAGTTAGTGAGACTCTGTGTGTGCTTTGAACTCTGGAAAACAGATAAGAAGATGTGACTGTATAGTATTTGGTGGCATTAACAAGACTGACAGTATGCTGAGAGCATTATATCCTGTAGCTTACTGAATACTTCTGATAGCTAAAGAAGTTTGAATTCCACCTCAGATGCTTCCTAGCTGTGTAACTGCAGTCAATTTACTTAAGTTCCTTGAACTTCAGCTTCCTCGCTTGACAAATCAGGATGATGATGATGTACCTACTTCATAGGAATGTTGTGAAGATCAAATAAGGTCATGGTATATATCATGTGCTTTGTAAATCTTAAAGTACCGTCTAAACACAGATGTGACTGAAAGCTTATGCCAGGTGTTAGCTGCCATGTTTTAGGAAAGGGATTGGCAAATTGGAGTGTGTCCAAAGGAGGGTGATTAGGATGGTGAGGGGACCAGAGAACATTTCATGTGAGGATTAGTTGAAAAAAAAAACTAGGGCTGTCTAATCTGGAGAAAAGAAGATTTAGGAGGGGTATGCTAGATGTTTTCTGTATTTTTGGAATTATCACACAAAGTATAGATTAAACCTGTTCCACTGGGCCACAGAAGTCAGAACCAGGAGCAATGGTTAGAAGGCTGGATATAAGGACAACTTTTTAAAGAGAATTGTCCAAAAATGGAATGAACTTAAGCTGAATTAAGAGAGGTATTGTATCCAGAATGAAAGAGTAGATAATATATTTATATTCTGTCCTGGTCAGGCTGCATTTTTTAAGTTTTGGGGTTCTATTTCACCGGAGGTCTTCAATGGGAGGCTAGATGGATGACTACTTTTTGAGAACGTTATAGGAGAGATTAATGTTGGATGGATAACACAGCCTCTTAGGTGATTTTGTGAAAATGAAAACTTACACAACAGTGTGGCATGATGGAAAAAGCAGTAGATCTGGAATCAGAGGATCAAATGAGATAACATATGTAAAGCATCTTGTAAACCTTAATGCACTTTATAAATGCAGCTATCATATCCCGATTCACCCCCTTATCAACCATATGAACTTAGCAAGTCACTACTTCATCAAGTTTCCTCATCTGTAAAATGGAGATAATGTTGCATGTACAATTATTATTATGTATGGTACATAATAATAATATTTAGCAGTCATGTAACACTTTAAGGTTTATAAAATGCTTTACAAATATTATCTCATTTGATCCTATCAACAACTCCAGGAAGTAGGCTATTTTATAGTTGAAGAAACTGAGGGAGATAATAATAGTGAAGTGACTTGCCCATGGTCACAAGCCTAGTAAGTATCTGAGGTTGGATTTGAACTCTGGTCTTCCTGACTCTAGGTCCATCATCCTATCCATTGTGAGGGAGAATAGCACAGTGGATAGAGACCGAGCCTCAGAATCAGGCAGGTCTGATTGCGTGACCCTCAGCAAGTCACTCTATCTTTCATTGCCCTTGACAAATCTCAGGCAGTCAGTCAGTTGCAGAGCAGATGCTCATCTCCACTAGGGGAGAATTTCCACATCGGGAGTTTCCTATTCCAATGAAATCACAGGTCCAGTTTAAAAAAAATACATGTGCTACTGACCTCAAAGATACAAAATAAAGCATTAAATCCAAAATGGAACTATAGGATATGATATATATATATATTAAAAGAAAGATGGGTGTTATATAATAATATTTAACAGAAGGCAAAAAAGCAGTTTATTTATGTGTTCCCTTATGATCTTTTTTCCTATGTATTCATGAAGTTTTGCTACTGTTGTCCTTATGTGAAGTTGTAGCCAATGTATGTTATTCTAATTCTACTGTCCTGATTTTGCACATTTTAATTGAATTTTCCATATTTTTTGTATGCTTACTATTTATCCTTATTTATTGTATGATGATATTCCATTATTGTTATAATGAAATTTTTTCAGACATTCTCCAGTTGTTGGGTGTCACCATTAAGTTTCATGCTATTTGTTCAGTCTGTAGCTCTAGCCTAGCAAGGTCTTTTTTTTTTTTTTTTTGGATCCTCTAGTGTTAGCCAGCCCCAGCTTTGCATCACCTGCAAATCTGATAAGCATGCCTTTTATGGCATCATCTAAGCTAAAAATGTTGCCTACAGCACAGTACTAAGAGCCTATCCAGGGAGCATCCTGCTAAGGTTTTCTTCAAGTTTATTGAATCATTAATATAATATAATAACCACTACTAATGTATGATGTCTCCATGTTGACTTTGGTTTCTGCTTTTGAAACTTGTCATCTAGCACTATCTTCTTTATGAAATCTTTCTTAATCTCCCCAACTACTAGTTCTTCCCAGTCTACCTGGTATTTAGCTCCTTGTGTGTATTTGTAGTAAGTCATTTAAAGTTATGCTGTGTATATTCTGTATATGTATATGCTATAGAATATATATATCCTGTATATTTAAATATAGATTTATTGTCTTCCCCATTAGAATGTAAGCTCTTCAGGAGTAGGAATTATTTCATTTTTTTGTCCTTGTACCCCTGGTGCCCAGGACAGTGCCCAGCACAGGGTAGGTGTTTAACGGATGCTTGTTGATTGATTGATTAATTTATTATCTAATTCTTCCTTCTGGCAGGCGATAAGTAGAATATTCCTACTCCACAAAGTTGTTTCTGTCACTTTCACCCCTGATTTTCATGCTCACTTTTCAGAATGATGAATTTTCTTGGTAGACAATGCTGCTTCACTGCCCTTTTATATTATCTCAGCTGTAGAGGAGGGATTAGAGATTAGAGATCATCAGAGATCACCTAATCTAACGCCTTCATTTTACCGATGAAGCAGCTGAGGCCCACCAAAGGGAAGTTATTTGCTCATCGTCACAAGTAGTCAATGAGCAGAGCTAGGAGTTTGAAACCAGATCCCCTGACTTCAGACACTCTTTTCCATGACATTAGGCCATATTCCCCTCCCGTCTTCACATTCCAATCATAAATCACATCTCACCAAATCTCAGTGCTGCCTATGAAATCGAATTTACCTCTTTGACCTTTCTGAACCTCAGTTTCCTCATTTTGTAAAATGGTGATATGGAATAATATTAACTGCTCAGCCTGATAGGGTTGTACTTTGCAAATTCTAAAATGCCAGCTAAATGTGAGTTGTTTGTTGTTCAGTTGTTCAGTTGTGTCCAATTCTTTGTGACCCCATGGACTGTAGCACATGCGTACCATCCTCAGGGTTTTCTTGGCAAAGACACTGGACTGGTTTGCTATTTCTTTCTTCGGTGGATTAAGACAAATAGAGATTAAGTGACTTACCCAGGGTCACACAACTAGTAAGAGTCTGAGGCCAGATTTGATCTCGTTTCCCTCAAGCCCAGTACTCTGTCAATTGTACTATCTCGCTGCCTCATAATTATATAAAAGTGGCCAATGTCTTTTTTTTCTTTGAATGATAATAATGATGATAGCTAGAATTTTCATAGCATATATACTGTCTTATTTGATTCTCACAATAATCCTGTTTGTTCTCATTTTATATACAAGGAAACTGAGGATGAGAGGTTAAGAGACTTGCCCAGGACCATACAGCTAATATGTGTCTGAGGCAGGATTTGAAACCAGGTTTTCCTGACTCCAAGCCCAACACTATCCACTGTACCACCTAGCTGTGCCTGTGATGTTATAGTTGTGGGTTTTTTTTTTTTTTGACATTTACTTTTACTGAGTTTTGTTGTTTCTCTTTTAGTGGACTTAATGGAGATAAAGGAAATCCGTCCAGGGAAAAACTCAAAGGACTTTGAACGTGGGAAAGCCAGTCGCCAGAAAGAAGATTGCTGCTTTACCATATTTTATGGCACCCAGTTTGTCCTCAACACCCTGAGTTTAGCAGGTACATTGACTTTTTTTCCCTGTAGCCTTGCCTCACCTTTCATATTTTCTTGTGCTAGCCTTCCATGGAGAAGGTGGGGGGACGTTCTCTAGACAAGTGAATCAGGAAGGCATAGTATTTTCTCTCATCCTGAAGTGGATAACACAGACACTTGGTATTTACCAGAAGGAAAATGCTTTAAAATCCTCATTGCTATTATTGTCTTCATTAAAGTCCTATCCTGAGGCCTCATCATGTCATAGAAGATGACTTTCCATTCTAGAAGCCTTTGCCAAGGAAGAAGTAATTCTGGCATGTCCTACCACCTTGAGAGGCTCCACATTTGTTCCCAGTGTCTATAGTCAGAGGACCAACCTAGCCAGGTATGGAGAATGGATGACATCAAGGTTATCTACTACATCCTGGTCGTCCTAACTTTTGTCTTGCCATTGGACTTTGATGACTCTAGAATTGAGAGTGAGACTGATGACTTTGTGCAATTCTGCCTCACTTAACTTCAATTCACACACAAGTCAAGACATCACCCCATGATGTCTTGGTCCTCTTTGAAAACGAAGGACAAACAACAACTGACTAGTTGGGTAATTAGGTAAAGAATTCTTTGGCCAAGGCAGCCCGTGAAATAGATAAAAATGCAAGATAGGCTTAAGTCTTTTGTAACCTTTTCTGATTCTTTAGTGGCAGAAAGAATCAGAATCATAGATCTTCAGCTGGAGGAGACCTTGGAAGTCATTTAGTCCAACCTTCTCATTTTACAGATGAGGAAATTGAGGTGCCCAGAGAGCTTAGTTAAATGACTTGCTGAAGGTTACAGAGGATTTAAGTGGTAGAGCTGGGATTTGAACTCAGATCCTATGATTTCCAAGTTCAGCATTCTCTCCATTGTGCCTCATTACTTCCCTATAAGGGAGGAACCCAAGGGTGTCAAGAATCACAGTCTATAAATGTTAATTTAATTGTTGGTTCTCAAATATGAGATTTTAATCCAACAACACATGAATTAATATAGCATTGGGAAGTCACACTATGTCCATATTGACATCGTTGCTAAAAAATGCGAAAGAGGAAACAAAGAAGCTCAATGAAGTCATGGCACATGGGACCCCTTGGTGAAATGAAAAGACTATTTGGATGAGTTGGTTTTGTTGGGAGCCCAAGGCCATCCTTTCCTGGGGCATTTAGTCTTCTTGTCTTGTTGTGCCCAAGATGAGACCACCCTGAAGATGACTGCAGCTTTTGGTATGCAGCATCTGTTTCAGAGGATGATGAATGTCAAGAAATTCTACAAAGAGCAAGGGTTCAAAGAGCAAGTCAGCATAAATCTCAGGACTTGTTAACTTGTGTTTGAAAATAGGCACACTAGTTGGGAGAATGACATGAAATACATTGGAAAAATATGGTTCAAGATGAAGACATTAAAGAGGACGCCTTTCTCCAATCTGTCTTTTGCAAAGTTACCAGAATGCTTCTCCTAAATCACAGGTTTGGCCATGTCACTCCTTTGCTCAAAGTCCTTCAGTGTTTCCCTTAGGTGTGTAAGATAAAATGCAAACTCCTCAGTGGTATTTAAGACCTCATACAGTCTGGTGTCAGTTTACTTTTCTGACCTTATTTATGTTCCTTCCCTATGTGTATTCTGTGTTCTAGCTAAACTGAATCCTTTGCTATGTCACCTTGTGTCTATGTTACCACATCTATGTCATCTCCCTAGGAGATGTCACCAGGACATCTGCTGTTCCCATGTACTTGTGTAGGCTGTCTCACATGAATGAATGGATGAAGAAGCATTTATTAAGTGGTTACTATATACAAAGCACTGTGCTAGGCACTGTAAGATTGTAGAATGAAAAACAAGGCATGGAATCCTTCTTTGTCACTGCCCTTCAGATTCCTAATATTCCTTAAAGGCTCAACTCCATGATGCTTTCCCTAAGGGACCAGCTGAGTACTTTGATCTCTCCTCTGCCTCTTTCACTTTCTACCATGTGGGCTTATGAGTGCACATGCCCAGTATCCCAATAGAATATAAAGTCTTTGAGGGCAGAGGCTTCTTATGTTTTGTCTTTGTACTCCCAGGGCAGCTTGGTGACGCTGTGGATAAAGTGCCAGGCCTGGAATCAGGAAGACTCACCTTCCTGAGTTCAAATCTAACCTCAGACACTTACTAGCTGTGTGACCTTGGGCAAGTCACTTAACCCTGTTTGCCTAAGTCTCCTCATCTGTAAAATGAACTGGAGAAGGAAATGGCAAACCACTCCAGTATCTTTGCCAAGTAAAACCCAAATGTACTCACAGTGTCAAACATTACTGAAACCACTCAACAAAAATTCCCAGTGCCTCCCATGGTTTGTGCACATAGTAGGATCTTAATAAATGTTAAATGAATTGAATAGAATCCAGAGACTTGTGGATTAATCAGAAAGTTCAATCATCCTTGTATATCATGGACACTTCTCTTAAGAAAAAAGTTGGAATGTGCTGAACATGGTGAACACTGTATCATGAAAAAATGAAATCTATTATATTTGAACCAACTAGAAATTAATAAAGGTTATGGAAGTGTGAGTTATTTCAGAATTAGTGGCCTGTATGCAGTCAGCTTCACAGAGTAAATGTTAAAATAACACCAAATCCAAAGAAAGTGTAAAGATGAGAAGATGGCAGGCGCTGTGTGTACTTATAATGACTCTAAGCCAATCTGGTTAACTAGTTTATTGATTCTGACAAAAGGAAAATGAATAAAAGTGAAGTCATTGAATTGTATTATGACAATTTCTTGTAACCAATGAAAATAATCACCATAGTTAAGAGGTCAAAAGAATCCGGAAGCCACATCAGCAATCAAAGAGTAGATCTTCTTGCCAAGGAGAGAGACATGACATGCTTAGAATAGAAACTTATTTGAAAAAACATTACTGAGTACTATAATGGAAGATTATGAACAGGATTGATTTTCAAAACAGAGAAAAAAGCAGAGTAGAAAATGAGCCTGAAGAAAGTTTCTCATGAGATCAAACTAAACCAGATCATTTCTAGGACAATTTTAGACAAACCTATAAGGGGGAAAATCAGCATTCATTGGAAGAGAACTGTGAGCATTTCTTGAATGAACTATTCTTATAACTAGTGACAGTGGAACCACCACATTTGCGCTTAGTTACCAGATGTACTATTTGAGGAAATGGAAATGGCAGTCAAGAAAATAAAGTAAGGAAGAACATCTGGGTCTGGCTAAATCCTTAATGAAAAAAAAAATCTGTCCTGTAGGCAACATAGTTATAAGGGCCCTCAGGGATTGAATTTCAAGAACTGTTACACAGAAGATCTAAAAAGAATGGAAGAGATCATGAATGGTGCTTTATTACTTTTTTAAAAAGGGGACTTGAGAAGACATCAGTGGCTAGTGACTCAAATGCCTGTTTTCTCATCTCTGTTGTTGTTCAGTCATTTCAGTCTTGTCCAACTCTTTGTGATCCCATTTGGGGTTTTCTTGGCAGAGATACTGGAGTGATTTGTCATGGCCTTCTCCAGCTTATTTTAAAGATGAGGAGATGGAGTCAAACGGGGTTAAGTGACTTGCCCAGGGCCACACAGCTAGTAAGTGTCTGAGGCCAGATTTGAACTCAGGAAGATGAGTCTTTTTGACTGCAGCCTGATGCTGTATTCATTGTGCCACCTGGTTGCTCCTTTCTCATCTCTAACAAGTCTTTAAATATTGTCTTTGTATGTATCAAGTGTATCTTTGATAAAATATGCAAAAAAATCCCATTCATAATAACTGCAAAATGCACAGATATCTAGGAGTTAGTCAACAAGACATATTTAAGACTTACATAAATATAATGTCAAAACACTTGAAGGCTTAAGTAATTGGAAAAATACTCATTGCTTAGGAATGGGTCATGCCAACAAAATAAAAATAAAGATACTGCCTGAATTAATTTACAGATTTATGCAGTACAAATGAAATTACCTCAGGACTTCCCTGAAGAGCTAGTTAGAATAATAACAAAATTCATTTGGAGAAAAAAGAAATCTAAAATCTCAAGGTAAATAATAAAAAAAATGGGAATAAAGGGGAAATAGAACTTCCAGAACTCAAACTATAGCCTAAATTATTAGCTACCAAGACTATATGACAGTAGTTAAGGACTAGAAAAATAGATCAGTGGAACAAAGAATCAGAAATTATTAAACTCAGTAACCCAGTGTTAAATAAAGCCAAGAACATAAACTACTTAAGGAAGGACTCCTTTTTCAACAAGACTTGTTGGAAGAACTGAAAGGCAAAAAATAGGTTTAATACAGCATTTTATATCATATACCATGATAATTTTCAAATGGACATTTGATATAAAATGTCACATAAAAAATTGGAAGAAAGTGGAGAAACTTTTCAATTTATGAGTAGGAGAGAATAACCTTATAAGAGATAGAAATCACTAATGATGAAATACATAATTTCAATAACAAAATTTGAAAAAAAAAAGCTTCAACATGAACAAAATCAGTGTATCCAAGATGAGAAGGAAAAATGTCAATTGGAGAAAAATTTGTCTCAAATACTTCAGATAAAAGTCTGATATCTAAGATTAATAAGGAATGAAAACAAATATGTAAGACCAAGAACCATTCCCTAAAAGATGAGTAGTGAAATAGTATGAACAAATGGTTCTTAAAAGAAGAATTGGAAACCATTAAAAGTCATAGGAAAGACTGCTTGAAATCATTAGTAATAAGGGAAATGCAAAATAAAAACAACTTGATGTTTCATATTTCACTTTTAAACTGGCAGTTAGCAAAAGATAGAAACAGATAATGTTGGAGGGGACTAGAGGAAGATAGGCACACTAATAACATTGTTGGTGAAAAAGTGAATTGGTTCCTCCATCCCAAAAAATGATTTAAAATTATGTGGGGTAAAAGTGACTAAACTATTCATATTCTGACTCTGTTAAGCATATGTCCCAAGAAGGTCAAAGACAGAAATAAAGGTCACATATATACCAAAATATTCATTGCAGCGTTTTGTGTGTGTGTGTGTGTGTGTGTGTGTGTGTGTGTATGTGTTTGTGGTTGCAAAGAATTGGAAACAAAGTGAGTGTTCATCTACAGTTAAGTAAATTGTGGTACGTGGACATAATGGAATGTTATTACCTAATAAGAAATAACATATATGAAGACTTCAGAGAAACATGAGAAGACTTATATGAACTGATAGAGTGAAGTAGGATGAACTTAGAAAATAATGTATGTAATGATTACAAAAATGTAAATGAAACTATGAGACAAAACTGAACACTGCTTGTTCCCATGAAAGAAGTGAGAAAGTACACCTGCCTACTTCAGTTGAAAGATGGGTAGTGCATGTGGCATGTTGAATGCATTGTCAGAGATGGCAGATATGTTGTTTGGCTTTGTTGAACTAGTAAAAAAATTTTTTTTTTGTTACGAGGGAAAGCTTGCTTGATAGAGGAGATTGGAGGGAGTATATTTAAGAATGCATATGAAGTAAGAAAAAAAGCACAAATAAAACTAAAAAGGAGAAAATAGGAGAAAAGATAAACTTCCAAAAGTGATTCTCTATAGCAGCCTTTTTTACACGAACAACTAAGTGAAAAGCATTGAAGGTACAATACTAGAGTCTACATTTGTTGATAATTTTTTTAAAAGGCATTTGACAGTGGGTGTTGTATGTGGTCCTGTAATCTTGACTACTGAGGATGATACAATATTACAAAAAGTTATCAAGGAAAACTTGCAGGAATATCATAGTCAAGTTGCAAAGCTCCTAGGTTAAGGAGAAAATATTAGAAGTAATAAGAAAAAAAATTAAATATCATGGAGCTACAATAGGATTACACAAGATCCAGCAGCTACTCCATTGAAGTACAATAGATCTTGGAATACTATATTCCATAATGCAAAAGAGCAGGGATTACGCCAGCAAAATTAAGTATAATCCTGAATGAAATAAAAAAGGATATTTAATGAACTCAAAGACTTTCAGGTTTTTGTGACAAAACCCCCAGAACTTAAGGGAAAATTTGACATATAACATCCAGGAGAAATATAAGATAAACATTAAAGGGACTCAATAAGGTCAAATTCTTTACTTTGTATATGTGAAAATATTAACAGTACTCTTATAATTGTCATCATTATTTGTGTAGGTTGAAAGAAAGGCATGGGCTGAGCTGTATATGATGGGGTGATTCTAAAAAAACAAAACCATAGGGAGAGATAAAAAGGAGTAATTATCTCATACAATTGAGGCATAAAAGGAAAAACTGATACAGAAAAAACTACTAGGGGGGTGGGAAGGTAGTGCTGGAACCTTACTTTCATTGGGAATGAGGGAACAGAATATATATATAGAAGGGTGTAAAAGTCTTCTAATTCAGAAGGAAATAAGAGGGCAAGGGGACAGGGTTGGCGGGGGAAGGAGAAGGGAGGGACTCTTAGGGCAATGAGTAGGCTAAGGAGTAGGAGGGCAAGGTAGAAGTAAAGCAGAAGAGTGAGGAGGGATAGGGTATAGGGTGAGAAGGACAGTGAAGAAAAATATTAAGGAGGAAAATACACAAGTAATTATTGCTTGGAATGTGAGTGGGATGAATTTATCTATAAAACAGAAATGGATAATAGATTAAAAATTTGAACTCAACAATATGTTGCTTTCAGTAAGCATAAAAATGAGAGATACACAGAAAGATAAAATAAAGGGTAGAAATAGAATTTAGTATGTAAAAATAGCAGGGATAGTAATCATGATCTCAGACAAAGTTAAAGTTTAAATAGATTTAATCAAAAGTGAAAAATACTGAAACTACACTATGTGGCAGCAATATTATTCAGTATTGTTTTAGACCATTTAAATTACCTAAACATTATTAAATACCTAAGCATGTACCTGCCAAACAGACACATGAACTATATGAACATAAATATAAAACACTTTTTATACAAATAAACTCATATCTAAATAATTTAAGTAATACTTATTGCTCATGAGTAGGTAAGGCCAATATAATTTGAAAAATGACAGTTTTACCAAACTAATCTATTTATTCAATGTCTTCCCAATTAAATTACTAAAATTTTTTATACCGAGTTAGAAAAAATAATAACAAAATTCATTTGGAAAAACAAAAGGTCAGGAATTTCAAAGAAACCAGGGAACAATGTAAAGGAAGTAGATTCAGCAGTATCAGAACTTAAACTATATTATAAGGCAACAGCATTGTTGAAGTGTAAAAAGGATAATTTAGATTATTTTAAATTAAAATTTTCTTGTATAAATAAAACCTATGTAGCCAAGAACAGAAGGAATGCAGAAAATTGAGGAAAAAACTTTCATAGAGAATCTCTCAGATAGGATGTGATTGGGTTCAAATATTGCGTGGTGTAGAAAATGATGAGCTGGTTGGTTTAGAAAAACATGGAAAGACTTGGACTTAGGAAGGAAGATGCTGTCCACCTTCAGAGAAACAAGTGGTGGGAGGAAATAAGCATAGTTTATGTTCTTACATATATGTGTGTGAGTGTATATGTGTATATATGTACATGTTTATAGATATCTATGTATATGTGTATATATATATCCATGCTTAACTGTAGCCTTCTTTGGGGGCCGGGGGGAGAGGGGAAAAACTAAAATAAAATAAAAAGTAGACAGCAGAGAACAAAAGCAAACCAACAAGGAAGCAATAAAAAGCTGGGCAGCTTTGAAAACGATGTGTAGTATTTATTATGTAGTAGGTTTTCTTGAAATGGAAATTTATTGTCTTATATTGAATTCTCTCTTATGGTCTGCTGTGTACATGGCAATTTTTTTCTTTTTCTCATTTTATATTTAAGCTTAAAATAAAAAAAATTACTAAAAGAAATAAACGAAAAAATTGGAAACAAATTAGATGCTCTCCTTGATTGGAGAATGGCTAAACAAAATTATGGTATGTGATTGTAAGGGAATATTACCATGCTGTTAGAAATGATGAATGTGTTGAATATAGAGAATAATGGAATAATTTAAATGAAATGATGTAAGGTAAGAAGAGCCAAGAAAACAGTATCCAGTAACATGATGGGATAGAACTACTGAAAAACAATAAAAAGTGAATGCTGCAAAATGACAAAAATCAAGCATGGCTTCAAAGAAAAGATATGAGAAGATATTACCACCTCACCCCTTTGCAAAGGTGTGAAAGGTCCATAAGGGTGGGACATTGTACAAATTTTCAGAATTTTTTTTATGTATTGATCAGTTATTCTGATTTTTCTTTCGTTTTTCTTTAAATATAGTATTTGTTATATGGGATGACTCTCTGGAAGGTGAGAGGGGGAGGGGTACTGTCAAAATTTTGGTAATATAAAACAGATATAAATAAAATTTTATTTAAAAATAGCATGCTGGGCAGATCCTCTGTGGAGGATTTATGTGAGGACATGGATAAGAATTACATAGAATGAGGAGGTTTTCCCTTGTTCAGCCTCTCTCCTCTCTTTGGATTGTTACTTGAAGACGTTCTAGGAGAAAAAAGGCCTCACTTGCACAAGAGTGTAGTTATCTGTCTTTATTTTTGGTTAGTAAAGTACTAGAGACCTGATAGTCATTAAGAGAAAAGAGGGAAATGGGACTCTCACTGCTCTGAGCTTTGGCTCCTGAGAAACCATTGTTGGGGATGGGTATGCAACCTCCCGCAGCCTCAGTTTCTTCGTGTGTGAAATGAGGATAATAATAAATTAGGCTCTTGATTTGTTGAGAGCTAGTGGCATGTGCATGGATGATTTCCTGGTGCCATAGTATGCCTGTTCTACAGTAGAAGCCAGAATAAACAGGAGAAGGTAGTCTGGTGGAGGCTGGGATGGGAGACACTGTCTTAGACTTGATCAGGGTCACACAGTAGTCTGTGTCAGAGCATGGATGAGAACCTAGGTCTTCTGACTCCAAATTCACTGCCCTTCCAACTATGGCATTTGGTTCACTCTCATGCCATATGCTGAAGCTCTAGCCCTTTACTGCATGTTTTCATAGGTAGGGGTAACATGTTTTGAAATCTCTTGGGACACTCAAGAGATCCTTTTTGCCTAGATCGGTCAGGAAACAGGTCCTGAAGCCCAAGAGCAGAAGCACCTGAATGGGGCCACCCATCAGGCATTCCATGTGAAAGTCCCTCTCTCTGTCTTTTCAGTGGACTCCAAGGAAGATGCTACTAAATGGCTTTGTGGCTTGACAATTTTACACCAGGAAGCCCAGAATGCCTCAACTCCAGCTATTATTGAGAGGTACTTGGTCTTTTCCTTTCCTTTTTCTTCTGCTTATTTTGGGATGTTTGGGGAAGCTGTCATGTAGGAGAAAGATTCATATCCACCTACTTGAGTCCAGAGAAGGCACTTAATAATAATTGTTTTCAAATCATATTCAACAATTGCATTTTATCCCCAGGCTATTGTGGTCAGTTTGCTTCTTAGTGGATCCAGACCCTTGATTTCATTGGTAAAAGGAACTCCAAAGGAGGAAACTGTTTATCAACATAGGTCAGTGTCCACCCTGCAACTTAGACTCTTAGAAAGTCATCTTCAGGCAACTGAGGACTTAAGTCAGTCACACAGCCAGTATTTGTCAAGGGCAAGACTTGAATCCAGATCTTTCTGAGTCCAAGGATGGCTCTCTGTCCCTTGTATCATATGGCCTCACGTATTATGATCAGGAGTCATTAAAATTGGGAGTGAACAAAACACTTGACTAATATAAAATGAAAAAAAGAAAGTGGTGGTTCAATACAGGATTAGTCTAAGAGTTGAAATGACTTGACCAATAAGGAATTCAAGTCCCCTTGGTTCTGAGGGTGAGGTTCTCAATTATGTCATTTTGTAGGGGCTTATAAAGGTCTGGGTCTTTCAGTCTCTATTTGAAAAAAAAGTTAATCTGAAGTATTTAAATTTATACTGTCTTCTAATCAGATTTTTGAACTTAACTTTGTTAGAGTGATTCATAGAAGCCTAAAATGGAAAGGGACCTCAAAAGTCACCTAGTTCAGTCTTGTGACCTATAGCATCCATCTCATTCAGGTTACCATCCCATTATTCTTTGAATGCCCCTAGGAATGAAGAACTTCCTCTTTTGTGAGGCAGCCTGTTCTGTCACTGGACAGCAACAATTGTTAGGAAATGCCTCCTTAGTTTGAGCCAGAATGTGTCTCTCTATACCTTCCATCCATTTCTTCTAGATTTTCCCTCTGGAGCTCTACAGAATGTCTTCTGTCTCCCATGAGAATCTGGCAGATATTTGAAGTTAGTTATCAATCTCTCTAAGCCTTCTCTGGGCTAAACATGCTCAGTTCCTTCAGCCAATCCTCATAGGGCCCATTCTTCTGTCCTCACCCTCTTCTGGTCAGATTCTTCTGAACATATTATCTATGATGTCTTTCCTAAAACATGTCTTCCAGAACTGAAAATAAAGACTCCACTTGGGGTTTGACCAGGGCAGAGAACAACAGGCCGCTCATTTTCTTTATTCCAGAAGCTAAGCATCTCTTAAGATAGCCCCAAACTGTGAAAAAGTATTTGTAGCTAAAAGGTATATAGGAGGAAGTATAGTTGAGTAGGTCCCTGGTCTGGAGTGACAGAATTAGCTTCCTATCCTAGGTCAGGACAGAATGAGCTTCCTGTTCTAAATAGTTATGTGAGGGTAGATGAGTTTTGTTATTTTCCTAATTTTTTGTTTCTCTTTTTTTCTTCTAGCTGGCTAAGAAAGCAAATTTATTCTGTAGATCAAACTCGGAGAAATAGGTAAGAATGTTTTACAGTATATTTTCTGGTTCACTGGAATTCTAATTCTCGTTCCATATATTAGAGAAGAAAAGCATATTTTATGGAGAGGAGAATATTGGGTATTTTTTGGCATGCGTCATCACCAGACATAGAAAGAACCTGAGGGTGTTTACTGTTTTTTAGGACTCTTCTTTACTGATGTCTTTCTTTAAAATCTCATGGGGGCTTGGAAATGAGTCTGAGTCCTTGAAGGTTCTGCCAGGGGAACGTGAGATGTCTCCTACTTTTACCGAGCTGAACAGATGCAAGCTTTAGATACAGGCTTGGTGTTGGTCATTACATCTGTCCTAGCAGATTTGCTCCTAGCAAAGAGGGCAGTGTCTGAGGTTCTAGGCAAATCCAGCTCTCTTTCAAACCACCTCAAGAACAATAAAAATTCTGCTAAATGATGCAAGATATTAGCAAACAGAAGAGATGAAGGAAAGAAAAATTTAGTAAGATAATCCCCATAAAAACAAACAAACAAACAAACAAACAACTCAGCTCAGGAAGATAGCTCATGAAATGTTTGATTACCAGTGAATGGACTTTTTGGTTACAACATTAGTTGTCTGCCAAGATCTTTAGGGCCTGTGGTCTTTGTCAGTAGGACTGTTCATGCCAATTAAGTGGTAGATATTTTGAAGTACCACAATTAAAGGATAAATAGAGTGGAAAGAATATGAACTCTGGATTCAGATCTTGCCACTAATATTTACTACTTGAGTAAAATGAGGAAGTCACTTAACTTCCCTTGGTCTTAGGTTCCTTAGATGCCCCTTCCAGCTCCAGATCTATGGTTCAAGGGACCCCTTTATAATGGAAAGACTTGGTTTGTTTTGACCTAGCCTATGTGCCAGTACCCCATTGCTGGCAGTAGAAGAGGCTTTCTTTTGTAAGGGAGATTACATTGTATTATGTTTCTAGGGTCCGAGTGGCCTACTTTGGGGGCTCAGGCTTTCCTCGAGTGATCTTTGTCTCCCTGATGTCCTGGAGCTGGTCCTCCTCTCAGATACACACAGGGAGGGAGGCTGGGGTACCAGGTCTCACTTCTCCTCTCTAGCCAGCCTGCTTTAAGCTGGACCATCTGGGAAAACTTTAGAGGGGTCCAGAAGATAGCAACTTTTTTTTTTTTTTTGCATCTGGGGAAGGTATTGCTTTGATTTTCCCAATATTAGGGGGACAGTCAGTTTGGTTTTCCAGTTTCATTTCTTGCTGTCTATAAGAGAATATTGACTTGTTTAAATGATTTGGAAACATCAAGGAATTTACAAGTTCAGTTGGCAATCTCACCTCTTTGAGGTCAAAGACATTGTATTCCATGATTGTCTTCTCTGTGTAGGTGACTTGTGAGCTGTGAGCAAAAGAAAGATTCTGGTATCTGGGGCACCTATTTCTCAGCCTTGGGTGGCCCAGGATTGTGATTTGGTGCTGTTTGCTTTGGTATTGCCACACTGGCACCATGACATGGGCTTTTCCCCGGTGTTAAGCCTCTGGAGATATTTCTCTACTCTGTGTCCAACTTTCTTTTTCAGGGCTGGGTCAAAGTATTCCTCTGTTTTGTGCTACCTCACAGCATGAATCATCTTTTAAAATATTCTTCAGGGCCCAGCTCAAATGTCACCTTCATTCAATCACCTTTGACTGCCACCTGTACCCTAACCAGCAGTAATCCCTCTCTCCCTGAGTTGTTGTGAAACTTATTACCAGTCTTTTTACACATTACTCCTCTCCATGTACTCTCCATTCCTGTTATACCAGCCTTCTTGCATTTCCTCCTACCTGAAATTCCATATGCCATGTTTTTTCCCATGCCTGGAGTGCTTTCCCACCTATCTCTGCCTCTTGGCTTCCTTTAAGTCTCAACTAAAATCTTATCTTCAGCAAGAAGCTTTTCCCAATTCCCCTTAATGCTAATGCCTTCCCTCTGAGATTACCTTCAATTTATCCTCTGTGTGTGTGGATGTGTGGGTATTCTATATGTAGTTTTTTTGCATGTCTCCTCCATTAGACTGTGGACTCCCTGAGGGCAGGCCCTGTTTTCACCTTTCTTTGCATACCTAGCCCTTAGCACAGTGCCTGGCATATAGTAGGTGTTTGTTGTTGTTGTTGGTCCTTCCTTCTTGAAGAGGATCAATGACATCATGAGGGTGATATCTTGACTTGTTTATAAGTTGGATGTAGATGAGGCAGAGCTCTGCAAAGTCATCATCCTCACTCTCCTCCACGGTCACCAAAGTCCAATGGCAAGACGAGTCACGACAACTGGTGATGGCCTGGGATGCAGTGGGTGACGTTGGCCTTTCTAAATTAGGATCTTCCCAGGTCTCAGTTTGTCTGAGGCCACACGCATGCAATGATTAAGGGCCTAGCCCTTAGCAGTTAGTATACATCTCATTAGTAGATGATTGTTGACTTGATTTGACTGGATCAAGAAGCACAGGGCCTTGTAGTAATAGACTCTCAGTCAGTACTAGGATCATATGAATTTGATGAAAAGCTTTTGTAAGCTGTCAAGTATTGTACGAATACACATTTTGTCTTGGACTATTCCTGTGATTTCAGTGGTTTAAGGAGCCCCTACTGAGGGAACCTTCTCTACTACTGCAGGTCTGCTCCTGTCCTGCCACTTAGTCTAAGAGAGCTGCCTGTGGCATTAGCAGATTAAATGACTTTCTTGTGTTGTAGAATTAAAAAAAAAATAGAGTACTTTGCATCTTAGTTGTCATCTAATTGACTCAGAAACCTAAGTCAAGTACTTTGTGTTTCTGGAATAATTTCCCTAGTGTCTTATTTGTATAGGTCTCTATATTCTGAGAGTTTGAATAGGGGAGGAACCTGGTCAGACCTCTGCTGTGGAAATGTGGTCTGGAATGAGTAGAGACTTGAGGCAGAGGGACCAATTAGGAGAGTATTGTAATCGTCCAGGCAGGAGTCGTTATGAGGGCCTAAACTGGAGTGGTGGCTTTGTTAGTGGAGAGAGGATATGTTACTGCATTTCTTCTGTTCATTCTGTTCAAAAGGTGATTGTAAATTGGAAGGCCTCACTTTTTCTCCACCCAGCAATAAAAATGAATAATTTAGTGTTGCATTAGGGCAGGGTGTTTTCTGAGGAAATGACAGTATTTTGTCAACAGTTCATTTCATGGGAGCGGCTGATTGGGTTGGAAGTTAGGAAAGACAGGTTTAGGAAAAGAAGAGTTCTTAGATCTCAGGGTCTGTAAAATCTCACCCTAATGTGGGAGAAACAAAGGGGCTTGGGAGCAGCTGCTGCATGCCTTGCAGCTGTTCTCAGGCAGAGTGTAGTAAGGAATCCCAATGGAAAGTAGAGAAATAGGGCGCCAGGAGGAGGGCAGATGTCTTATTGGTTAATGAGGCAGCATGGGGTCATCAATGGACCGTTGGACTAGAGTTAGGGGAACCTTGGTTTAAAGAGCACCTCAGACACTTATTAGTTGTGTGACTTTGGGTAAGTCACTCACTCTCTTAGCCTCAGTATCTTCGTCTATAACATGGGGTAATTAATACCATCCATCTCACATGAGTTTTGAGGATCAAATGAGATAAAATATATGCATTTAGGGTGTTTTGAAAATTTTAAAGCTATAATCTTTATGTGATGCTGGAATTTTATGATTTCCTTCCCGTTCCTGTCTGTAGTGACATAAGTGATTTCTTGAAGAGGGAAGACAAACTGAATTGGGTTCCAGTGTTTTGTTACCCAGATCACTTCTTTCCCTGCCTCCCTTACAGATTAACCTGATGTTAGGTACCCTTGTGGGAAATACGTTAGTTATTTGAGTTTTAAAAGATTTGTACTTTATTTCAAAGTCTCCAGATGTGTTTGATGGTAAAACACTAGCGCCTTAACCTTGGTTGCTTCCCAGCCAGTCAGAAAGAAAGGTCAACTCAAATGACCCCGTCTAGCTAAAGTTACATTCCTTCATTCCATAACTGAAATGGGTCATGTTGTCAGATGTGGAGAGAAAAGAATTAATGGATATACAATAATGAGTCAAAGAGAAAAGTAATTATAATTTTTAAAAAGCTGAATACTGGTAGGTAAAATGTGATTGGAATCAAAACATTCCTGCTGACAATGAAAAAAAAAAATCTACATTGTCTGAAGAATAGAGGCAAAAGACACTGTGTCCTCTTTTTCTCCTTGGTGTGTGGTAGAAACAGATGTGAGTAGTGGCACTTTCATGTGATATTTGGAAGAACGCTGGGGCTCTGGACAGATGTGCCTGTCTGGTAACCCCCTCCCCCCAACCTTCCATTTGCTCACAAGCTCAGTATATATGCTAGAAGGGTGATGCTGCCTGGCTGCCAGTGCTGTCTCAGGCTGCATTAGGAAAGGCATAGAATCTAGAATGAAGGAGATTGTGGGACTGCTCTGTCCTGTCAGACTCGGGGCAACAACTCTAAAAAGGCTGTTGACCCGCTGGAGAACATTCAGAGGAGGGTGACCAGGATGTTAAGGAATTTTATTTTTTTTAAGGATTCTTACTATGGTACAGTGGAGATACATCTACCTGTTTGACCCTGAGCAAGTCATGTCACTTCCCTATGCCTCATTTTCCTCAAGTGTAACAATGTATGGTTTAGACTAGGTGGAATACTTAGAGCGATGGACTTGGAGTCAGGAAGAGCTGAGTTTGAATCAGGCTTCGGATACTAGCTATGTGACCCTAGGCAAGGCACTTAATCTATATGCCTCAGTTTTTTCATCTGCAAAGTGGGGAAAGTTATAGCACCTGTCTCCTAATGTTGTGAGGGTCAGATGATACAATATTTGTAAAATGCTTTGCACTGAAACTATTATTAAAGCACTATATAAAAACTATTTATTAGCATAATTATTATTATGTAACCTCTGAGGTCCTTTCTGACTCTAGATCTGTGATGCCATGTTGGGGTAGAAGTTATTTATAAATAAGGAGATAGAGCACTGTATGTGTTTAATTTTCAGACTAATT